ATATCTCGCCAGATAAAGAGAGATTGCAAAAAGATATAAACAGTGTATTGGAATGGAGTGCTCAATGTAAATTAGACTTTAATATTAAAAAATGCAATGTAATGTCAATTACTCGACAAAAGGATCCAATTATTTTTGATTACTGTATGGATAATGAGTCACTAAAACGGGTATATGAATTCAAAGACTTAGGAATTACGTATGACTATAAACTATCTTTTAAAAAACACATTGAAAATGTAGTAAAATCTGCAAATCGCGCTCTTGGATTTACGATACGACAGACGTCTCTTTTTGTCAAAATCGATTCTATAAAATTGATATATGTTACGTTAGTAAGATCTAAACTTGAATATGACTCTGTAATATGGAATGGAGAATACCAAACCATTTTGCAGGAATTAGAAAGAATACAAAACAAATTTTTAAGATACCTTTACTTTAAAAAATACCTTATTAGACCAGATTATAATAGTGTCAGAACAACACAATTACGAAGTGAATTTAAAATACCTTCTTTAGACTGTAGGAGAAAAATGTTTGCTATACTTTTTTTGTATAAAATCATAAATAACCATATAAATTCCGCAGAAATATTGTCAGTTTTGCCATTTAATGTACCTCCTAGACCTACGCGTTCCGCGATTATGTTTAATATTCCCTTTGTAAGTAGCACTCTTCGATCACCTCTCCTAACCATGCTCCGTTTAGCAAATAATATTACTTGCTTGCACGAAGTAGATTGGCATATGCCTTTAATAACATTCAGACACCTAATTTATAGGTATATTGTGAACTTGTCTGTTTAATTATTTTAGTTTTTCCATTTCTTTTATTATATGATTTGCTTTTTATTTTTTAGAAATTTTTTTTCTCAATATGAGTTTGTGTTTAATCCCCCTATATCTATATATCTATTTTTCTACACCCGTATTATAATAATGCACTTATATGCCCATAATCCGTTTCATAATGATACCCATTATGATACAAATTTTTCATTATGATACAGATTTTTAATCAATAGAAACCTACAATTTTTCAATCAAGCATGATGTTTGACGTTTGTCCTAAATTCCTATGTAATTGTTTTAGTTGTCAAAACGTATTAAATTTTCGTAGATAGCTAAACTTCGATAATTATAATATTAAAATGTCTGATATCAGCGATATAGAACACTCCTCCACACATATAGGAGAAAGGAGAAAATGCAGTACAAAATATTTTGCCCCAAAAATCTGTGGTAATACCAGTACCCAAGGTAATACCATTAATTACAATTTTGTAGAATTTTTTATAGAAATACGAGTAATTACTGTTATTGTGTTCAATACCAATATAAATAGAATATTTATAGGTCTTGATTATTTATCGGGTGTAGAAAAAATAGCGTATGCAACTCTCATGTAATGGTTATTAAAACACTCGCATAAACCATACGAAACTCGCCTTTGGCTCGTTTCGTATCCCGGTTAATGCTCGTGTATTAATAACCATCATTACATGATCGTTGCATAATATACTATTATTTAATATGTATATTAATACGTTTTGATCGATTGTGTAAATAATAAATATTGTAAAGTCTATCCTTGTAATTTAGGCCAGTAAGCCTGTTAGGATGGAACAAATAAATAAATAAATTACTCTCTTTGGAAAGCTACTAGAAAGATTAAAATAACTATTAGTATCATATTTCCCATCATAAGACATAACAGGGTATGAGCCAGGGACAATAAACAGAAAGCAGATTTGTTTACTGATGGTGCGTTTGATTTGATCATCGGAGATCTCCGAGAGCTGCAAACGTGTTTGAATTGACACTCCGAGCGATCCCAAAAGTATTTGTTTCACTTTGGAGCGGAAACAAAGAGCGAACTCGAAGTTCTTAGAGCGGAAGGATCTAGAAGAGGGAGAAATTTGTCTTTGTCTCTACCTACCTCTTTTTAATTAACATACAAACAAACTTGAAACTCAAAATTCAAGATTCGTGACCAGTCAAGTGTACAGTTAACAAATTATTTATCTGCTTTTGTCTAATAGCTAAAATTGTTCTATATAAAAAAATAAAATGTGTTTGGAAAATACAATTTTCCTTGCTCAGATCTAATCACCTCAATCACCAGTAGTCTGAAAGCGAAGCGGGCATTTGCAGTATATGCGTCAGGACCACTGTTCCTTATTATTAAGTTTTACCATTTTAAGGCTGTATGTCACGATACTAAATTAAGTACTAAATTTAGCACTAAATTAAGTTATTAATGTAGTACTTAATTTAGAACTAAAAATATTTTTTTTCCGTTTGCAACGATACCAATTTTTAGTACTAAATTTACTATAGGCGCACGCGCATTGACGTATTAATACGTGAAATTAGCAGAGGAATAAAATATTCTGTGTGAAACAGACAAGTGAAGTAAATGGTGTTTTTATTATCAATTTGACACTAGTTGACTTGACAACAACCAAATACAGCATAATAACCACGAAAAAAAACACAATAAAACCTACAAAATCAAACAAGCGAACTTTATTTAAGGCGATAATGTAAAATTGTCGCTAATTAAAAATAAAAAGGTACAGAAAATACCGTCGTGTCAACTTTTGCTATGAAAAACTTCTGCGCAACATTTCGGCGCACTTTTAGTACTAAATTTAGTAGAAAATAGAACAAGATCTAATTAATTAATGACTTTTTTTAGTACTAAATTTAGTACTAAATTTGCTGTTTGCAACGTGAATTTTTTTAGTACTTAAAAAATGCATTAATTTAGTTCTAAATTTAGTACTTAATTTAGTATCGTGACATACAGCCTTTAACTTTTTGCTCAATGTTTTGACACAGATACAACATTTACAAAAATTAAAACTAGGTTAGGTTTTTTGGTTTTTTATTCTCTTTTATTTGATTTGATTTAATGCTCTATTGTGACGTCATAACTTCTCGGTCTCCTCGACGATTGCTCGATCGAGTTTCACACCAAACGACCCTTGAATATTTGTCAGGCATTTTTACAACCAATCAGAAGCAGGAAGAAAATAGTTTACCTATAATGAAAAATCACCCTTGCTACACCTAAAGAAGTAGCAGAAGAGATTAAGAGTAACCTTACTACGAAGAAAGCACCAGGCTTCGATTTAATTGGGTGTAATATTAAAGCAATTGCCTAAAAAGGTATTGCCATGCTGACATACTTGACATACTTGTGTCAAAATTATTTGAAAAATTTCTGCTAAAAAAAATAAGACCTCTGATAAAAAATGTATACCTGATTTTTAATTCGGATTTCGACCGAATCATTCTACTATTGAAGTGCATAGAACCACAAATGCCATAGAGCATGCCCTTAAAGGGAAACAAGTCTGCTCTGCAAACTGGTTTGGAAAGAAATATTTACTGACCACTAAATTTGGTCACAACAGGGAATTTTAAAATACCAAATATAAAATTAAATAGAAGAAATCCTTAAAAGTAATAAATTTAATTTATATATTAATATAAAACATATAGTTAATGTTTCAAATGTTTTTAGATGATGTTCCCGCTCATATTCTGAAATGGCTGGCATTTTTTTTTCAAAATTAGTTAGAGGGTGTCCATTAATTACGTGAGGTGTTCAAGGGGGTAGGGGATCAAGCTAAATCTTTCCAAATCTCACTTGGGGGAGAGGGGGGTCTTTGTAAATCTGACGTATTTTTTATCACTTGGATATGTTGGTTCCAGTAATCACTCTTGAGGCCGTGCACGAGTCTCCATGGACTGAATTAGAATAAATCTTTTATTAATTTTTGTTTATTATTTATTTTTATCACAGTGATTTTAAATTACGGCAATATTCTCAAATACTAGTCTTTGCTAGTCTTAAATAAAAGTAATAGAACATATTGTTTTTTTGTTTTTTTTTTTAATAGTCCAACGCATTTACACCCAAAACACAAATTTTTGAAAAATCTCACGTGAGATTAGGGGAGGGGGAGGCAGTTGAGGAAAATATTACGAAATCTCACCAGGAGGAGAGGGGTTGTCAAAAAATCCTCAAAACTACCTCACGTAATTAATGGACGTCCCCGGTTCGCTTTCAAGAAGAAACAAATGATTAAAATAAAATATATTAATTCATTTTTTGGTTGAAGTTATACCTAGTAAGCTTTCCACTTTGTTGTTTTTTTTTATCCTATTAGAAGTGAATATTTTTAGTGCCTGATTTCTGCATTTTTAAAAAGTATATCAATTTGGGTTTCTTATTATTGTTTTATTAAATTAAGTTTTATAACTTAATATTAATAATACGAAATAAAAAAAATTATTAACAACTCTTTGGCTCGCTCTGTATAAAATGTGACGGCCCCTTATTTTGATTTATTAAATTGTTGTTATTTCAGCGTAATATTAATTTAAAGAATAATAATCCCAAGCTAGAGTAAAAATACAAATTAAATTTTCAGTAATTTGTGACACACCCTGTACTTAACTACTAATAATTCATATGTTATACTCGAAACATTCTTTTTATAAGCATTATTCTCGGAAAATATCTGGAATCTAAGACCTCTGTTACACTATGTATATAAAAAAACTAGTATAGAATTGAGTTGTTCCCATGAACACTTTTATTCGGGAAGTCAACAACTGAAATACCTATATCAAAAATTCAGGAAATTTCTTCGTAGCCAATTTTTCTCCATAGGATTGCTCCAGGGTTGACTGGCATTTAGACATTTTTAAAGAATAAAAAACTGAACTTACCACAAAACCAAAACGTAACAAATAAAACGAAACAAGCCCAAAAAATAACACAATAAATCTTTTCATTATAAACACCCAACTGGTCCCAAAAATTAACCGGACCTCTAACCCCCAACCAATAATACCCGAACCCTATTTTTAACACCACCCACAAGTATCATCTCACAATTCCCATTGGTTGACAGGATTTGTGTCAAATGCTAATGAGGTGTCTTTTAAAATCAACACCGACACATCCCAGAGTTAATTAGTTTACCAACAGTTAGAGGATAATATTCAAATCTCGAAATCTTGATTTTGTCAGTTAATTATGGTGCCTTTGAAGTTGTACTTCTAATACAGAAGAAAAGTGTTAGGAAAAAAGTTACTAGTATTTTACGTTTAAGTGTTTGGGATTTATTATTATCATCAGGACATTTAAAGGTAACTATTGTTTTGACAAAAATGTATTGGTATATTTTATGTTTCGCGATTATTTTTTATGTAAATGCTACTTTGAATGATCTTAACTCATATTTATTTAAACTACTACTAAACAAAACAAATTATTGTGACAAAAACGTCATATTCTAAACACCTTAAAAAAGATAACTACTTTATTGTTGGCGTAAATTAACTATAATTTATAGAAGTGGAAATGTCACAAAATGTTTTTTTTTCGACTTTCATGTCAGAAAAATGTCTTGGTATGTACCCAGGTATTCTTACGGTACGTTTACACCAAAGCGATTGATAATTAATATTAAACATTCAAGTTTATCTTAAAATATCTCACATCAAATATTTATAGAGGTATACTTTATTTAATATGAAGTAATCCACGAAAAATGTTTCTAAAGTAGGCCCGAAAAAAAATTTACGTTTATTTTAGAGCACAATTTTAATTTTCTTTTTCAGTGTCAGTTTGGATTTAATTCAGAACCGTGCATACTTATCACGAACATGACTCGTATCTGTGTATTATCTTTGTTATGGCCTGCTTGAGAAATATTTTTTTTTATCACTCTTCGTACATTCAATATTTTAATAAAAGCCTATCTAGCTTTCGTGTTACTAAGTGTTAGATGTGCCGTTATTTTATGATAAAATTATATACAATGCAGAACATATCTGTGTAGTAAAAGAGTTTTGAGTTGTGCCACTATCAATACCAAGCAGCGATATGTTATTGTTGATAAGGTCGTCGTCGAGTTGCTGAGTCCGGGACAGATGCGGATAAGTAAATTTGCGGACAAGTAAATTTGCAGACAAATAAATTTGCGGATACGATACATTTGCGGACATCTCCTAAGTTTTCGAATAATTATAAAAATGAGACAGTTGGGGACCTACCCCTATTAATGGGGGTACCTGCTAATGCTTAATAATGCATAACCGTAACAGATGTCTAATAATGAAAAAACTATAATTTTTTAGTTTACTGGCATATACAGTGAGGCTGTATAGGTTGAACTAAATTTGTTATTTTTCTGCCTAACAGTATTTTAACAAAATTCTTCCGCAGTTCAATTTAATTTTTCTTTTTAACTGCGCGTCTTAAGACTTCTTTAGACTACACAATTTCGTTCAAAATTTGATAAAATTTCTTGCATAATTTAAATTGTGTAGCATACATAATACAGTAATTGTTTAAAAAATGCGATTTTTCAAACAATTTATTGTAATATTGTACAAGAAATTATGTAGTCTAAAGCAGTCTTTACACTACAATTGGATATACTAATGACGTCGCCCCTTTCGTGTACATGACGTCATCGATTTTCTTAAATATATCAACATATTTTTCTCTTCATTTTTTAATTTCCCAATAAAGTAATACTAATTGTCCAGAGTCATTGTTTAGTGAATTAGAGAAATTCTGAATCTAAACTTTTATTAAAAGGACTGGACTAATACATTTTTAATTAATTTAATTATTTCTTATTAATATTTTTAATAATATGCTTCTCAAAGCTGCAATCTAATATAGGTTTCTTCTGCTTGTTTTACAGTAGCGCACTTATTAACTTTAGGTATACGGTATGAAACAGCCAAATATATTTTTAGTTGCGCATTTTTTTTTTAACAAAAACTTTTTATTCATGGTGTGTTATGTAACAGTATCCAATACCATCTTTCTTATTTTAAATGAAACACCCTGTATATTTTTCAATTTTTGGAATCTTCAGAAAATTCTAGACAAATTTTATGTACTATGTCCTATATTTAACTGTTTTGTAAATATTAAAACATAGCTGACTCGGTCACTCCTCAGACGTTGAGTAACGTTAGAAGACATTTTTATTTCAGATTAGGATGTTACCAAGAGGTTCACGGCGAGCATTTTGAACATCTCCTACATTGAGATGTGTTTTATTTTTGTTTCATTATCAAGAAATAAACAGTATTACTTATTAGTTTTTGAGTGAGTTTTTTCTCTAGTCAAAAAAAAATGCGCAATTAAAAATATCAATCGACGTGTCCGAGCGTTTTTCCGAACACGCCCCACTTGATTTATTACCGAATTTATTCCATTTGGCTGTTCCACACTGTATAGGGAATACCTAACTCAAATGAAAGTATAATTAGAGTACTTTTGAGTGATGATATAAAATACAAGGCAATTAATTATTGCCTTTTCTGATATACATCTCGCTGTGAAAACAGATTAAAAAAAAACAAATAGTGGCTCTACAGACCGAGGCGTTACCGGAGGCCCACCCTATATATCAGTAAGCCATTTAAAAACTATTTTCATTATTCAACATCTGTTTGGGAGAAATAGGTCCACAACTGTCTTACCTAAATTTTATTATAAATCGCAAAATTAAGAGATGTCCGCAAATGTATCGTGTCCGCAAATATACTTGTCCGCATCTGTCCCGACACCGAGTTCCTTTACCTACCTGGGATAATATTAATCCGGTAGCCGAATTCCTCCACCCTATCGAAGAGAAAAAGATTACAGGATACCAGGAAAATAATAAAATAATCATTTTCTATTTCTACTTATATTGCAGAAATCAATATATAAGTACAAAATTGGTAGTAGAAAAATAATAATAAAGAAATATACGATATTTTAAATTACAAATGAAAAAACAACTTAACTAATTTACCTAACCTCTGCGGCCTAGAGCCCTACACATATATTTTGTTGTTGTCTTTCACCTAATATTGTGATTTATACATAAAATGAGAACAATTTAAAAACTTAACTATAAACCTAACCTGTGCAGCCTGGAGCCACCTACCTGCTGATGGCAATTAGAGTTTAGCGCCTAATGGATGAACCCGGCTATGAAAATAATCCTTAGAAACACAGGAAGGATTATTATCGCTAGTAAAGTGGAGGAACTCGGTGACACTGGTTGATAATAATAAATAATGTCATTGATTTTTTTAGGTATATGTAAAATTCTTTTACATCTGGATGTCAAAGACTTTTACGTTGTGTAGACCAAAATTGTTGTATTAACGCTTAATAAATAGTGAGTATGTAAAACTCAACTTTTAATGACAGTTTTCTAAAAACTTTCATCAATGATTTATAAGTATTGTAATATTAAATTTAGTTTAATAATATATTGACAATCGGGAGCCGATTATGAAAATTAATCAGAACATTTTTCTATTAATTATATTTCTTTTGTTGAATCTCCGGTTAAAAATATGATCTTTAGATTCCTTGCATAAAACATTTTCAATAAAACTTATAATAATTGTTGATTTTTCAAACGGCGCTTTCTAGCTGTTACTGTGCAGCTGATACAAACAAAATAATGTAGAAGAATAAGAAAGAAAAGCACATTTTATAAAAGTAATTTTAAAAAACCGACTCCATGATAATATTCGCATGGATTCCATCATGAGATCTTGACCAAATTTATATGAGTCTACCCCTTTCTAACAAAAAAGAATTTTAGAAATCGGACAACGTGGTAAACAATTATTGCTAAATCGATTAAAAATTAGTCATTTCGGCTTCAGAGATGTTAAAAATTTAATCACAATTGTATAAGAGCAAACCGGACCTTTCGGGAAAGCAAAAATGTTGTGAGGATTTTCTAATATTAAATTATGTTTATGTGCTGACCAATGGGATTACTTCACGATGTTATGTGTCTCGAGAATATTGAGAGCTTTAAATTTGTGCAACGATAAGATAAAAAGACTTTTAAGAAAAAAGGTGGGAAACCCTCCCATTTAAAAACTACTATCGGACTAAAAATAAAGGCTCAGACGGAATTTGAAATTGTCAAGGTGTTCGGTTTGCTCTTAAGTAAACCCAATTATTATAATGTTATTTTTAAAATTAATTATTCAATTAATTATGGCACCAGACAATGTCATTTTATTTTTGATGGGGGAATATTGTGGAGTGAGCGTTTTTGGGCTAGAATGAATAGTGTTTGTAGTAAAAATAAAGTAGTGATTAACCATATCCATATATTTATGTAATCCATGGGTATAGTTGTTTTATTTATTCAAATATTTGTGAATTTTATCATTTCGATGGCCTGTTTAAGAAATAATGTAGGATAAATAAAATAGAATTAATATTAACAAAATGTGGTTTTTACTAACCTATATAAACGATAATAAATAGAAAACTTCTAGATAAATAATTAATTATTAAGTACTCACCGGTTCTGAATTCTCTTCTACCAAATCCTAGCCAAAAATGAATGCTAAAAGTAAAGAAGTTATTTGCTTTATTAAATAGCTTTAAAAAGAGAAAAATAGTATAAACTAGAATGAAGATATATAATGCTTGGCATTCTATATGATACTCTTCACAGTTAAACAAACCCTCTATTAACCCCCATTTTAAATAGAGTTTTTTCAGAATCAAGAGGCTTCATCCCCTCTACAAAAGCTCTATTTTTCCGGAAGAATTTAAGTTGATATCGTTTTTTATTTCCGAGTTAGGATTTTATTTTAATATTTTAATCGCTCTTAACCATCCATTTTTAATCAGATTTTTTTCTGAATCAATAGACTTCATCCCCTTATAGAGCTTGATTTTATATCGCTTTTCGTTGTTGATTTATGATTTTCTTTTCTATTTTTGATCATTTTCTTTAAAAATTAATAGGATTCGTCCCCTTTTATGACTTGAATTTTCCAAAAAATTTTAATTTATGATTTTTTTTTAATTTTAACACCCTTAAACCCCCATTTTTATTCAATTTTTTTAAAAATCAAGAGGCTTCGTTCTTTTATACTACTCGAATTTTCCTAAAAATTTCAAGTTGATATTAATTTTCGTTTTTAATTTATGACTTCTTTTTAAATTTTAACACCTCTTAAATATCCTTTTTATTCAGATTTTTTTTTTAAATCAATAGGCTTGTAAAGCTTGATTTTTCCTGAAAATTTCAAGTTAATATTACTTTTTTTTTATTTATTTTTAATTTTATATTTTTAATCATATTTTTTTA